ATCTCTGCTTCCAAATGAATGTCACCTTCTCCCGCCAAAGGCCTATGTTTGAGAACCACTCCAATTAAAGGTTTATGAGATGGAATGATACTTTTATTGATTTATATGCATATCAATGGAAGCATATAGTAGCCCTACACAGCCCCTTATCTTGTGGAATACTGAGCCTCCCATTTCCTACTGAGCCTCCCATTTTAAGAACCCCCAAATCACGTTTATTAAAAAAAGTAACATCTTTGTTTTTGCATTGCAATATTTCCCAATACTAAGAACATCTACTTTAGATCTGTTTGTGTATGGCACATCTATGAATATTAAAAAGAAATTCAATTCTGAAAATTAATCTTCAACCAAAGTTGCTGAAATCGATGCTGGGAATGCTTTAGGCCAATGAAGTTTAGAGCTACATCTTCTACCCATAACCTGTTTCTAGAATCATAATGTCCACCAGCAAGAGCAAGTGTGTGGGTCAGAAAGGGATATACACAAAGATGGAAGGTGGTGGTTCTGGCACGTGTTCAAACATAGAGTTTTCAGTCCCAAAACAAGAGGATCAAATACAACTCCTTCCCATATAAATCTCCTCTTGTTTTAAGTGTGTTTACAGCCAAAGTTTCAGCAGTCTAAGAAGTGGATGGAAGAGAGGACATTTGCTCTTATGTCATAAAAATACCTGCGAGTTAGAAACCCTTGCAGATCTACTGTAAATCACCCAGATCTTACCAGCTGATCTTGATCTATCTGTCTTTTGCCCATTTCATCATACAATAAAACTTAAGTCACATTCATCCAGCAGGTGGTGCTGAAGTGTTACAGCTCCTTCCTTTCACTTCAAACCCAAACTATTTGTCCCCAGAGAACAGCTTTCAGCAGGATAGAAACCTAAGGATCAAGTAACAATCTCTCCAAACCTATATAATTCTCTGTATAGTAAAGTACCCGGTTACTAAAAGATGTCTTTCATTTATATATTTTATGGTTAATCTTGATCTGCTTTAAGACAGTAGGCTGATTAGCAGAAGCAATTCACCAATTGAGAGAGAAACATATTTAAACACATCAAAGGATCATTTATGAGATTTAAAAACTCCATGGTAGATTGTGCCCAGAAATAGTTATTAGTGAATTGAGATGTGAGGCTCCAATGTTCTGTTCAAATTTCACATCCTATCCCTGGCATCACTAGTAAATAAAACTATGATAAAACTTATAGTGAACCTGGGATTTTGGGAAACCACTGCCTGTCTTGTACAGACCCTGTACTAATATGGAAGGACCATTGGTCTTGTTTTGCAACAAGACAACTTTGTATGTTCAATCAGATTGGCGAGTTGGCCACCATTAGTTAAAAAATTCTCCTGATAAAGCAAAAAAAAAAAAATCAACAACTTCCACAAACATGTATAAATATGGCTGACATTGCACAACACACACAACCCATTATTGAACCAGTTAGACTATTTCAAATTAGTTGAGTGGAAACCTTGTTTAATTATATCCTGTTATTCTTATTACTCTGTATTTTAAAATAAACATGAAATAGGAAGAATATTAATTCAAGAGTAAAGGAGTGCAGAAATTTAGCAGCAAAGTGGTTAAATACGCACTGTTAATAGCAAAGCACACATTCAGGAAAATATTAAAGCATGTAACATTTCATAGGAAGTACATTACAGGAACCAGGAGTTGCACTACACTGACTAGTGCTCACACGAAATGGTTAGACTTGCATCTTCCCAATGTACATACATATGTATGTATGTGTGTATACAACACGTATGTGCATATATCCAAAGCCAGGAAGTTCTTTTTTTGGGTTGTTGTTACCATGCTCAATTTTTAATTAAAAGCAGAATATTTTAGAAATGCTATTTACAAGATGTAATCCTCATGTCACCAATAAAATACAGGTTATTTCTTGCTTTGTTTGGGGAAAATGTTAACAGTCTTTCTAGGCAACTATGTTTAGCTGAATATGTGAAGCATAAAAGTCATATAAAGTAGCAGCTTTCAAATATATGAAGAATAAAAAGGACTTGAGACTGCTGCTACAGTGCTCTATTTGCTGACTTAGTTTATCCATTTGGGTTTTTTAAAGGTATAAAACTAGAAAGAAACTCTTAACTTCTATAGTTATCAATATATTTGTCTTCTTTTCAATGTGAAATAATACTTCAAGATGATCTATGTACACAATGTTGTCAGTTCAAGCTGTCATATAAATATAAATGCTTTCTTTATAAAAGTATTTTACAGATAGTGTTATATACAATTTTTCAGTTTGATACCTGGGCTCTGGAAAAGGGTTGTGGTGAAGGATTCCTGTGACTGAAAATGGCCATCAGAATAAAATAAACCATGTATATAGTTTGCTGAAAAAATGTGTCAAAATGGAAAAAAGGGAAGTGCAAGGTTATGTTAATGGCTAAGACGTATTAAGAATCCATTTTATTCCCTCACCCTCAACCCATTAACATTCTTGAATGAATGACTGCTCCACTGCTTTAGAGAACTTTATTAATAAAACCTGTAAGCTCAGCTATGTTGTTATACCATGTGATGTATGACATTTAGGAATTGCCCATAGGTTGTATTTTGTATTTAAAACACACAGCCAAATGTTAAGTTAAACATCCATCATTAATATACAACAATTCAAAGACAAAAGGAAAAGTCACTTCCATTCACAAGAAATCACTTGCTTTTTTCTCCATAACTGGGCTACAGTTTGTCATACAGATTTGTTTTTTTAAAAATCTAAGCCAAATAAAATTGAAGTAATGAAATACTCTTTGTTCCCTTAGTTAGAAACACCTGATATCAAGCTCAACAGAATGATAAATATGTATCGTATGACATGTTGTAATTTTCCCTTCTCAAACATTCATCATCATTTCTTTAGAATCAAAACTGTAGGTTGAAAAAGAGGAAAAGTGCTCTTGCCATTACATTGAAACTAGTCATATCATATATATATATATATATATATATATATATATATATATATATGTATGTGTGTGTGTTTTTAAAAGAACATTAGCCAATTATATCTGTGCTTAACAAAACATTGGTCATTCAAAACTACAACAATTAATATTTTAAAGGTCCTTAGATTACCAAATGTACAGAGGGAACTCAATACAAAAACGTAATTGAAGGGAAACAAGACTGAAAATATTGATTTGCCCATCTTTAATAGAAATGCTACTAAGTTAACTAGTTAAATATTGAGAAATACTATCACGGAATGTGACTGCAAACGTGGTCCATAACTGCTTTGTAATTGGAAAGGGGAAGGAAGATTTAATAATTCGTACCATATATTTAGTTAAATATAAACCTTTGTTATTTGTACATAAAGTTGCTTCCAAAAACTATTTATAAGCAGTTTAGTTGCACTTAAATCAATACAATTTCTCCGGAGTTGCCAATTTATTAACTCTCTTTAGTTTCAATCAGCTCTCACTAGTGCAGGTTTAGTTACATTTTCTGCCAAATAGATTATTTCAAAGAGCTTCCCATCACCTAAACCATAGAACATACACATTGCTGAAGTTGATCCCTTATAATATAGGCTGCAGTTTATACTTATTTCAACTGCTAATCATAAGAAAAGACTTTCTTTTCACCACAACTTCTTTGCAACTTACACCATGCACTTTAAGCAGATCATCAGGCATGGTGAGCATTCATAAAATGCAACAAGTTCTACTGCTTCTTCCACAATTGGCCTTTTGCACATGATAGGCTTCCCTTCTGCTTGCCAAATACTTCCGCAGGTTAGATATTTTCTCCAAAAAAGACTTGTCAGCCCCAATTTGGCATCAGACTTGGCTCATCCTGCTGCTTTATGCTTTCCTCCACAACATCCACAGATCTCACCACAGTGGTGGCACGCTCTCAAAGGCAAGTAGCAGCACATACACGGTGCAATGACTGATAAAGTAACAAGGGCTAGCCACCGTAAGCAGAACTTGTCATCGCTAGTGTCGCAGGAACAGGGGTCCGAGAAGTCCCCCTCAGAGTCTGACATGCAGTGATAGAGCATACTCTCAGCACAAAGCATGCAGCTAACTTGGTATATGCATCTCTTAATCGGGTCTGGAGCATCCTGGCATTTGCCCCGGCCATTCTCTTCATGGTTAAACCTTTCCTGGCAGTAGACACAGCGAGAGCGCTCACCATCCTCTTTCCTTCTCTTCGATTTTTTCGGTTTGAAAGAGGACGGCTGCGTTTTAAATACCACAGAACCCTTTGAATCCTTGAGTGAATTCAGCTTAGTTCCATCCCCCGAGGGGTAGAGATAGTCTGGTTTTTTATAGTCGGTTTTAGGGCACTGGAAGGAGGAGTCTGCTTCATCCCTATCCAAGTCATTTTTCCACATGTCTGGGTGCCTATAGTCTGCATAGCGCCGTATTAAGATATCGCGGGGATTTATTCGGACAATTTCCTCTTCATCCTGAAAACTGACATTCCTGATTGGTTTTGGGGGTATCTGAAAAGGGGAGGGGGAAAAAACAGAGGCACTGTTATATGGAGCTGTGACATTTCTCAAAACAAGCTGAAATGACTAATTCATGGCAAACAAACTACTCAATGAAAGCGCTTTACTGTCAGGAGGCTGCACCTTTAGTTTTTTTAAAAATTAATTAAACTGCGGCATTTGTGACAAGCACGTTTAAAAACATGTTCTTATTTTAATAGTTAACATTATTTCTTCCTATTAAGCATTACACACAATGGTATTCCCATTGCCTTAAATTCACATTCCAGACCAAGAGAAGAAGTCAAATAACCACAGTCCAAGTAAGAAAAAGTGGCAGCTAAAAATAAAACCACACAAACAAGAAGCATGTTCTGCAAAAACAAGTTGTACAACATCTCAATGGAATTTGTCACTTTATCCGTCTTTTGCGTCTTCTAAGCCTAAAGTGGGACAGATTCTTAGGGCAATGTAGGGTGGATGAGAGTGAATAAGATGAGACTTTATTCTGACAAGGTGGAAGTGTGATGGTCTGGCTTCCTAAAGTCAATTTTTAGGTGAGACTAATCAGACTGTCCTGAAATGACAACATGGAAATAATAGGAAAATTAAGCAATTTTGGCTTTTGAAATTCTAAGAAACTTCTTATTTTGTAAAGGTCCTTGTGAGTATGAAATTTATATGAAGTTTCAGAGTAAGCAAGCTATCTTACAGGTGTAAAAATGACCTCCCTTTTAAACAATCCAGGCCTATCTTATTTCCAAGTGATCTGTGAAAAAGAAGTTCTCGGTTACTGAAGTACTTGCTTAGTAAATATATTAACACTTGTGGTGGGAACTTGTAGCCAGGACGAACGAAGCTGTTCACTTTGCTGGCACCCAATGAAAATCCACAAAACCGAGACAGAAATAACTTTTCCATAGCCTTCTAAAGGATTGGCTGGTGATGACAGAAACATCTTTCACTATTAATGAAAATAAGTTTGCTATAACGTTTTAGTTTATGAGCAAAGATTAAAAAAACAAACAATCCTTTCCCATCTCTGCCAAGGGCAAAAACAAGACACTCCATTATAGAGCAGAGAAAATTTCTGCTGGAATATCTGAGGTTCAAGATGACTTACTTGGCTCAAAAATATTTTTTAAAATGTAATTTGGCCTTCTTGCCAATAGTTAAAACTGTCTAAACAAGGAGAGCAAGTTGAATAAGGAATCTTTGAAATTTAAGAAGAAGACAATTTTCCATTTAAAAAACAAGGCAAAAGAGGCCTCATCATTTGTAACAGATTGTTCTGAAATGCAGGTCTCATTTTGAGTTCTCAAATGTGGAAAAAGGAGTGATAAGAAAGGATGAGGTAAGTCTGAAGCCCCTTCTACACTGCCCTATATCCCAGGATCTGCTTCCAGATTATCCGCTTTAAACTGGATTATATGATTCTATATGAGTTTCCATAGTCAGATAATCTGGGATAATCAGATAATCTGGGATCAGATCCTGGGATATAGTGCAGTGTGGGAGGGCCCTGAGTCAGATTAAGGCTACATGGAGCAGACCAGAAATGGGTAATTTGAGATCTTCAACTATTTTAGACAATCAGACCTAGCTAACAAAGCTGGTGATAATGGGTTATGGCAGATTAAATCCAAAAAGATCTGCAGGAGTACATTGCCCACCACTGCTGTAGGAAAAAAAGAAGTCAGTGGTTCACACTTTCATGTGCCTGGTGTGGATTTTAAAAAAACAAAACCCAACAACAACAGGAGAAGGTCTATGGTTATTCAAATAGACCAGTAGACTAGTCATGTAGCTCTTCATGTGGGAATTTTCCACTATAGAGCTTGAAGGTAAAGTGTTAGAGCATAGTCTGTTATAGTGGCGGCAGCAACTTTTCTCACAATTCCCTCCACACCTTGACTATCCCTAAACAAAACCCACACCACATAAGATGAAACTTGCTTCTTCCAAAGTCTAACAGTGCTCTAGTGCTATAGTTCTAAGGTGGGCCTGCATAACCTGTGTCCTTCCAGGTGTTTTAGTTTCCAGAATTCTTGACCATTGGAAAAGTTGGCTAGGGCTTCTGGGAGTTGGAGTCCAAAATATCTGGAGAGACACAGGTTGTGAAGACCTATTCTAAGATATTCCTGAACATGTACCTTTAGCACTTCTACAGCAGATTTTAAAAATGCATTACAACACATTCAGCTGATCATTGCTTCAGCATGGTTTGAAATTCTCCTATCATGAGTTTTTTCACTGAATGCTATGTAAGTGCCTCTGGTAAGTGGATTTGATGAAGCCTCATAAATATCTTTATTTATGAAACTAATTTTTAAACTGAAAACTACTAGGACGTTTGCTCATTGATGTCAGCTAAACTTCTATAGTCTTTAGCCATAGTCTTTACAAACATTTCAACTGCTTAGCTTGAAAATTGAGCATGACTTATGTGAAATGAAAGATAGGCTGGGAAAGTAAGAAAAAAGTGTCTAGAACAGAAAGATAGGATGGGGAAAATAGAGATTATAACAGTGGAGGCTGTACTTGTACTGAAGGGGGAAGAGATGTGTGATGGAAGCCCAGGAAAGAAGACAGAAGGAGTTGGTTTTGGCTTTACCTGCATGTAGCAAATGGTTTAAAAAGGGAGGTGAAAGCAAACTCAGTGAGCACTTTTCAATGGGAAGAGCTAAATAAAAATTCACACAGGACTCAGCGACAGAGAAAAACGTATATGTCTGGGTAGAAAGATGTATAACAGGATAGAAGAGAATGGAAACACTGATCTGAAAAGGCAAAGAGGCAGAGGTCAACAATGGAAGTAACTAATGTTTCCCATATTGGCTCACTGCAGATGCAATGGGATTTCATGGATCTTGTCTAAGAAATGGACACACCTCCAGTTCTGCTGATAGACAGCGAACACCAACAACACCAACCTCTGCTTCTAAACAAGCCATATGACATTCAGAGCCAGTGAACTATGGTTTGTTTCAAATAGAAGAAATATGCTCCACTGGTGTTCAAAAATGGGAAGTATGTTAGCTTGAGGCTTGTTTTGGCTCATGTACATAGAGGGACACCATGACTTCCCTTCATGTCTGAACTGGGACGCTGCATCAATCTGCCAAATTTCTGGTAGCAGCTTTGAGGAAGATTTATTAATCTGGAGTACTTACTACAGAAATTTATTTTTTCAACGGAAAATATACCTGGTTGGACTGGCTGTGAAAGTAGGATCTTCTTGTGTTCAAATCTTCAAAGGCTAATGGTCTTATACTTAGGCTTTTGTAAGGATCACTGTTCACTACAGGTTCAGGTTGGAAGATACTCTCTTTCATTGGCAAACTTGATGCATTTTCTGGAATTGCCTGCAAAAGCAATAGATTATAATTCTTTATTACTTTTTGTTCTACTTTTTTTCCCCATAAAATTTTACTCTACAGCAATTTTGTTCAAAACTTTGATTGGTAGGTAGGGTATACACCAGGGGTCCACAAACTTTTTAAACAAAGGGCCAGGTCACAGTCCCTCAAACTGTTGGAGGGCCAGATTATAATTTGAAAAAAACATAAATGAATTCCTATGCACACTGCACATATCTAATTTGTAATGCAAAAAATACTTTAAAAATACAATAATTAAAATGAACAACAATTTTGACAAATATAAACTTATTGATATTTCAATGGGAAATGTGGCCCTGCTTTCGGCTGATAAGATAGGATTGTTGTTGTGTGCTTTCGAATAATTTCAGACTTAGGTTGACCCTGAGCGAGGGCCGGGTAAATGAGCTCAGAGGGCCGCATCTGGCCCCCGGGCCTTAGTTTGAGGACCCCTGGTATACATGCTCAATGTAATAAATGTTTAAGACAGATGATTCTGAATAATGTGTATGCTATTTCATAGAAATAATAAAACACCACGGAATAATATGTAACAGACTATAATAATACATAAAGTTGTGTTCACATTTTTTATGAATACAAACTGGTTTGACAATGGTACTTCTTAATGCAACTATCGAATACCTATGTCACAGGTAACTGAAGGAAAAACAACAGCCGTCTAATTTGCATGACTGTATGGCATGGATAAAGGGTCATACAAATTCCAACTTTCATTTCCCATGTGCTTTTTTATTCATGTAGAAATGCAACTATGCTGCGGATTGTGCAGCATTTCTTTTTCAAGCAATAACAAGACACTAAAACAGAGTTGCTATCTTTCAGCTGCTTAACCATGAAAAAAATTCTATTGCAAAGGTCTGATGGAACAGGCAAAATGGTCCACAATATCCAAAAGCTCTGCTTCTGGTGAAATGCTGAAAGGACAATTTGCATTTTATAACAAGATGTGTGTGCTTTAGGTATAGGACCAAACATCCATGCACAAGACTCTTTGCATCACTACCAAAGCTTTTCTCCAGTAGTATCTTAATTGTATGCTTTTATGCTGCCAGAATATGGTCCTTAAGGTATTTTTGTCATAGGCACCATATAGATTTCTTAGCACAGAACCACCTTACTTCAAAAAAAGTAATAATCATATAGATTTGACATTAAATCAGTCCATTTGAGACTATGTCATTTTGTTTTCCTCTGTAATTTACATCTGCCCCTCACAAATCATCTCTATTATAAACATAATGCTGCAGTGAGCTATTCTGAGAACAAATATTTTCCATTCAGAATTAAACCAATCCATGTAATTATTTCAGAATGGTTCTTTGAGTATGACACATTTATGTTGAGTTTTAGATCAATATGAACATTTACGGCAAAACAAGGTAGAGATCTCAGTATTGAAAAAGCATATTGATGAGAGGAAGACAAGCTACAATTTTATTGGACATCAAAACTAAATAAAGCATTCAAAGTATTTTTGCAACAGAAGAACTTGCATTATTTATGTCATGCATGATCTACATCTCACATAAAAGAAGAACATCGATGCACAAATTCCCACTTCTCTTCTGCTGCCAAAGCAATTATGCACCACCCACATTCAATATCCTTCAACCACAGTGCGCCTGGCATAGGCTAGCCAATATCATCTGTAAAGTAACCTACGCCAGTTTTTAATGCACAACGGAAATCTGGTTTGCTCCCAGCTGCTGGTATAATAATTACTGTCCTATGGTTGCTAAGAGATACTCTGACTTTTTTTCCAAGACTATTAAAACATTTCTGTGTGCAAAAGCAAAAGGATGCTGGGTAAAGGCAATAAAATGAGTCCAGCTGTAGCAGCCCAGCAGAATTCAAAAAGAGATGACAGCTGAAGAGAAAATGAAAACCAGACTGAGATTCGCTCTTCTTCAAAGCTCCTCTCCTCATTTTTCCCAGGGTGATGACTGTAGAAGAGAATGTTGCACCTACTCTTTGGCAAGCATTTTGAAAACAATTATCTATCGATGACCAAATGATGGAATAAAAAGAGAAATGAGGCTACATTCACCTCCCTCTTACAAGACAATATTTTCTCTCCTATTTTCTTACTAGAACTCTTCACTAGAGTATATCTTTAAAAGGTGTCCTGATTTCCAATTTAAATTACAAACAGAGGCTTTAAGTTCAAAATAAATTATGTTTTAGTTGTTTACGGGAAGAGAGAAATTACATTCAAGCCTAAGAGCTTTCCCCCTACAATTAGTTTTATGTTTCTGCTTTGCATTTGAAATATTTTTGGAAGCCTAAAACTTTCTGGCCATTTCGAAACAGAATCCTTCGCATAGGTTCTAAAAGCAGAGCAGAAGTATAACAAAACATTTTCCTTCTTTTAGGGCCCCAAATGAATGCAAAGCATTACACAGTGCAAACATCTTTAGAAGACCTAGACCCCCATCCCAAGGGGGGGAGGCTATAGACTGTACTCCTCAAGTCGTTTATGGTTTCAAGTTGTTTCCAACTTTTGGTGACCCTAAAGTAATATCGTAGGGGTTTCTTGGCGAGATTTGTTCAGAGTGTGCTTATCTTTGCATCCTCTAAGGCTGATATAATGTGACTTGTTCAAGGTCACCTAGTGGATTTTTATCTAGTCTCTAGAGCAGGGGTCCCCAAACTAAGGCCCGCGGGCCACTTCCGGCCTGCCAAGGGCACTTACCCGGCCCACGGAGGAGGAGCGCCCCCCCACAGTGCCCCTCCCTTGGCTGGCTCACGCTATCTGTCAGGCCTGATGGGCAGCATGAACCAGCCAAGGGCAGCTGCTCCGCGCGGCATACTCATGAGGTGCTTTACGAGCGAGTAGGCCGTGCGGTGCTGCTCCTCCCTTGGCAGGCTCATGCTGCCCATCAGGGCCGATAGGCAGCTTGAGCCAGCCAAGGGCAGCTGCTCCGCGTGGCCTACTCGTGTGAAGCACCTTGCGAGGTGCTTTACGAGCGAGTAGGCCGTGCGGTGCTGCTCCTCCCTTGGCAGGCTCATGCTGCCCATCAGGGCCGATAGGCAGCTTGAGCCAGCCAAGGGCAGCTGCTTCGCAAGGCCTACTCGTGCGTAAAGCACCTCACGAGGTGCTTTATGCGCGAGTAGGCTGCGTGGTGCTGCTCTATGCAGTCATGCCAGCCACATGACCTTGGAGGTGTCTAGGGACAATGCTGGCTCTTCAACTTAGAAATGCAGATGAGCACCACACCCCAGAGTCAGACACGACTGGACTTCTTGTCAGAGGAAAACCTTTAACTAGGAAAATTGTGGAAGATCCAGGGTGGGAGAAAGAACTCTTGTCTGTTGGAGGTAGGTATGAATGTTTCAATTGGCCACCTTGATTACCATTTCATAGCCTGACAGTTTTTAGGGAGAATCCTTTGTTGAGAGGTGATTAGCTGGCCCTGATTGTTTCTTGTCTGGAGTTCCCCTGTGTTTGAGTGTTGTTCTTTATTTACAGTTATAATTTTAGAGTTTTTTTAAATACTGGTAGCCAGATTTTGTTCAGACTAGAAATAGGAAGATTTCCCATTCTCTGCTCCTGGAATTACTGCCTAAAGAGGGCTAGAAAGAACCCCCTCTAAGGGCCCTTCCACACAGCAAAATAAGATATGTGCAATGTGCATAGGCATTTTTATTGATTTTTTTTTAAAAAAAACCTATAGTCCGGCCCTCCAACGGTCTGAGGGACAGTGAACTGGCCCCCAGTATAAAAAGTTTGAGAACCCCTGCTCTAGAGTCATATAGTCAAACCAGTACACCATGCTGTCTCTTAATCCACATGTAGCTTGTCCCGAAAGGCAAGACTGCATTCCACATACACCAGAATAAGCAGACAATCATGGGCAAATTCATTTTCACACAAAACGTCTGGCTTATGAAGTTTTTGTGTCAGGAGTGACTTGAGAAACTGCAAGTCGCTTCTGGTGTGAGAGAATTGGTCATCTGCAAGGACGTTGCCCTGGGAATGCTCGGATGTTTTACTATCCTGTGGGAGGCTTGGCAAAACATTTAATTCAGATGTGGAGTGAGGGTGGTGTTTGACTACATATTTACAAAAAGTAAACCATCTGCACAGCAAATCTGCTATACATTTAAATCAACACAACTATCTAAAGCTCATCTGTTATGAAGATTACCACAGGCTTTATCAGACCTCCAAAATACGTTACACAAAATACCTATTCTTTTCTTAGGTGGTCTGAATTGTTAGAAATGAACAGCAAAAAGGAAGGTGCCTGATGCTTCAGTCTTTTTAGTTAAACACACTGACTTAAAACAAAGGGTGCACTTGTACTTCACTAGCACTGTGATGGAACTTCCTTCTCTTGCTCCACTTTGCAGCCTTCCACAACACCTAAAATGCTCCCAGTTTGGGAAATGTGGTGAGTCTGCGATGCATTTCTCCCCTTTGAATATTGCAGACAGAAGCTTGGCACAGACACAGCCTTTCAATATGGGCAATGGGAGTACAGGAGTGACTGCTGATTTGTAGGGGAAAAATGCCCAAACTGATGTAGGAAAAAGAAAACATGAGATATTTAGATGCTCAATTATAGAACATAATTTGTAAATAGTGTGATGAAAAATGTTGCCAAACTGCTTTGACTTTATTATCGGATAAAGAGATTAAAAGCTCATGATTAATCCCTCTATTTCTGGTTGAAAACTTGTAATCAGTTCAGTTAAATATTTAAAAGTATTTGTGTCAATTTCTAGGGATGGGATTTTCTCTTCTCAGAGCACTGACACACTTTTAACAAATCAGTTTCTTGGGAGGTTTGATGGCAGATTTTACCAGCCTTCTCTGGCTATTAATTCTCAGGTGCATTGTATCCTACTAACTTCAGATTTTAGATGAAAATCTACAGAGTTTTTAGCAAGTGATCGTGCTTGTATGTCTGATGAGAACGCAAGGTGTCCAGGAACTGCAATTGCAGGGAAGGGTCTGC